AAGTTTTCATGTGTAGCTACTCAAGTCATTCAGCCCAAGCCATCGATAGGTTTTTTAAGTCAAGTCCCTCTTTACTTGTTAGTGAACCAACGGCAACACGCTTTGCATGGGTGCATTCATTAGCCTGGAAGTTACAATCTGTCACCTCAGGAAATCTACCCAGTAGTGACCAAAAATGAAAGATAGTAGAATGTAGCATAAGTGGTGGTAAAATGCTAGTAACAATACTGAGTACAATTAAGGAACTAGCATATGTTGCTACTGCGCTAGAAAGGCAGATTGATTTTCCCATCAAATAGCACAGCGGAATTACGGAAAATTGGTAAAAGCTCAAATTATTGACTTGCAAGTCAGTTCTGAAAAGTATTTTCAAGTTTACCCATCAGTTGCATACGTTCAAAAACAAATAAGAATTTCACCAAGCATTGAGACATACAAGCTGCTCCTGGGCTATCGTCTCCAGGAAAGAAGAAGAAATATTTAACAGTAAAGGATGAATGTAAACACAGACCAAAAGTAATAAATGTATTTTACTTTTGATAGTGCGTGACATAGACCACGTGGTTAATCGGATCAAATTTTGCAAATGGATCGTCAAAAACAGTTCTTGTTCTTTTTCATAAGAAAAGAGATTCAGGGTTGCTTTCTCAGTCGCTCAACCATTTGGGGCAGCTAGGAGTTTAGGAAGTGATAACGATTAACTTTTGTATACGCCACCTAGTTTGTGTGCTGATACCTCAGAACAAAAATAGGGTTAGGAATACGAAGTACTTTTAATACAAATACATATTAGGATGCTCAGAAACCTAAAAATTTGCCTCAATATTTATTATCTAATTCCTAGCATCATAAGTAAGGCACTGTAGCGCCAAGTGTGGCATTGTCCCGTAATGTTGCGTAATAAGCCAGAATGCTTTATTGAGATCAGCAGTTCTAAGGAGTAATAAGGAATAATTCGGAGCGGTGGGGTGACGATTCAAGAGAAAATGATAAGAAAAATAATCAAGTCTTAGATGTCTAATAGACCATTTTCATATGCCACCTCTTCCGCGACATTTTGTCTCAGCAGCTCGATGGCTTTTTCAACAGTTAACCGGTCGTGAATATCTTAACGAAACCGTTCAGAGGATTTACCGTATAACCGAATATAAGCCAATAGTTTTGGGACCAGTTTTTGTTTCTGTAGAGGTGGTCGACTTAAAACAATGTCCAAGGGAATTTTAAAACAAGTCACATGTAAAATCCACTCAGGAATTCATTGCCAACCACTGTCCTTATCTCTCCTTAGTACCACTCTCTAGTAACGGACGGTATTCCAGGGAGGGATTTGAAGTACTGTTGAGTAGTGTGGAGGATTTTGGTATAATTCATCTAATTCATCATAGTCACTCCCAATCAGCAGGCTTAGGCTAGTCTGGAACAGCACCAGATGCCGGCGTTTCGACTTTTTGGGTCCCGTCAGTGGTGCGCCTCCCAGCGGACCCCTGCCTATAACTGGGTACATTACTTTTGTGTCAAAAACTCGCGGTATATTGCACATTTGACATTCACGACGGATGGCCGTAGCTAATCAAAAGCCGTTAAATATTATGTTACGTAAGGCGACTCGGTGCCTTCAAAGTACGTCGTCCCACACCTTTGCCTCTGAACTTCGCTCTCACTCACTGCCCTACTATGGTTCGCATGCATGAGAACCCCCTCTCACGCTAGATTTTCGACAGTCTTACCCGTTTCACGTGACTTGACATGTGGTCAGTGCACTATCCGGTGTGTTGAAAGTCTGTTCTGACTGCCCTGATGTCAGCAGAAAACGGATCAATCCATTTTCTGCTGGCGTGCTTTTTGAAGGACAGTCCTAAAATGTCATTTAAGCATTAAATTAATTAAAGCAAATATGGATAGGGTAAAATGACTTCAAACTAATATACATTACTGTCTTTTCTGAAAATTCAGTCACAAAGTTATAAATACTGCGTTAATTTAACACCGTAAATTACATTTTATAAATTGTCTCTAAAAAAACCCAGCAGAAAATGGGTTAACCGTGATTATAACATATTACGGTCACCACAGCCTACCAATAACGGAACAGGTTCCACTTGAACTCACTCAAGTGAGAGCAAGTAGGGATGACGTCAAAATCGTGAAAAAAGAATTTTCTTTCTCCTTTGCTAATTTTTAGGGGTCGGCGAATACAGAGACTTATGAGTTTGGACAAAGTTGATGTTACAAAGTCATACTGTCGGCTTATCTATAGATGGGCTAATTTCGGTAATATACAGCGCATTCTCGCAACTTTGGAAGCAGCTGTTCCGTATATTAGTGTAATCTTTCAAGTGAAATTGCTGACGTGTCTGAATTCTAGATTTTTCTATTTTTAGGAAGTTGTGACTGTTTCTGCTGCTTTGTTTGGCTCAGCACTGAAGTTCTAATCCAGACTAGGGCATTTCAATTCTGCGATGAGTAGGTCTACTCAGTGTGAGCGAGCATTTTATGTGAATCCATACAGCTTTGTCCAGCTGAATGCTCTCTGCACTATGTTATTTCCTACCAGTACTTGTGTGTATTGACTTTGATGAAGCAACACAAACGTTCTTGTATGTCGAAGATCCAAGTTTACTACGCGTTTTGTTCAGCCGGCAGTCTAGGAGGTTGTTCGCACTTTGACAGCAAATCTTGATACTAAGCCTCAAACACTACCCATTGTGGCCACAAGTAACCCACAACTCAATGAGTGGATGCCTAAGAAGCTTTACATATTAAGCCAGCAGTTGGTCTAAGGGCAATCAAGCGATCACTTTTCCGACCCATGTGAGCCTAACGGTAGCTGACATTCAAGCAGGAAACGATCAATAGTCAGTCGAATCTGGCAGTGGCTCACAAAGCTCTGCGAATCAGACCCTGAAAGCTGCAGTTATGATGTTGCCTAAATTGGCAACGAAAGGTCTACAACTAAACTGTGCAGCTGGAAATACAAAACAACCTCTCGAACTGGTTGACAAATAACGGTTTACAGAAGAGTAGTAGGGGGAGTTGAATGGTATAGGTTGAAATTCGTCACATCTAGACTCACTCAGACAGCCGCCACACGCCCGGAAAAGCACTGTACGCGCGTTTCATCCTTGCGGGAATCATCAGCAGTGCGCGTTGTATCGGACCCTTGGTATGGCTCGAACCCGCAACTCGACTGTTGCCAGTCCGTGGTTGAGACCACTGAGCTACGGTTTGACCTCCATTTGTAGCCGAAACTAGAAGGAGCTGTCACCTCAGACACTTGGCCTTGCAGTATTGTCTTCCCTGCGGTCCGGTTCCGCTCCAGTTAGTAGAAGTCTGGTAAGTTTTCACGCCATCTTACATGTATACTGGTGACACAAAATCTTCAAGGCATGTGTTTTGACTGCTACCGTAGAATTTGCGCAGTACCACAAATTACTTTCGGGCTTGTTCCGATATATTATCCCGGGGATCTACACGTTGCACAGCTTATCTAGGCAACTCGTCATTTAAAGGTAGCTTCATCCCCGGGTTTCTCTAGGTGGAGTCCAGTGCAGAATACGTAACAGGAGCCCAGCAACTGATCCCTCTTGTGTCTTTGATTTCTCAACCTATCCACCTACCACGATTCGCTCAAATTAAGCACGCGAATGGTGGGATACTTAACATATTGTACATATATATATATATATATATATATATATAATGTATATATATACACTTAACATACTTAACAAAATATACTACATGTTGTTCTGGTTATTTGACACTCACGCAGCACGTATTTTTCTTGTTAATGAACCAGGGGACGTTCATAGTTTATTGAAAGTGGGATCACTATCTAACATGTATATCGCTCTGGTAATAAAGGCACAAAGTGTCTGAAGAAGCTGCGGACGCTCAGTAACGTAGGTTCGCTTGACTTACTGGAAATGTTGTCTTTTTAAATTAACTGGGTAAAACGGGGCTCCATCTCTGGACTGAGGTCACAAGACCGTAATTGCTTTAGTGTCTAACCCAAATGAGGCATTCCACGTAGTTTACAATGCATGCACAAGTACGAAGGTTTATGAACGCAAAGACATCATATCGATAAAGTCTCTGTTGATTGATATAAAAATCAAATTGCCTCCTCTCAACCACATCTATTTCAAACCAGAAGTGAAAACAATATTTATCCTGAAATATGGTAAATACTGAAACGGTTAATCAGAGTTACCCGCGAAATCACGCATACAACTCCAGAGGTGGAAAACGCAGACCTCAATTTTTGTAATCAGGGTAGTACTTTATTCTTTAATATATGACCCTCCATCTGTAAACAACCAAGAACTAAACAGGGAATTAATCGGATTGCTAATGAATGAAGTATTTGGTTTGGATAATTTGTTTCCTGTTGCTCTCTAGGAATATGCAGATTATCTGGTACAGCCTCTCCCCGAGTTGTACACATTGTGTTTCAAGGAGCACAAAATAGCTGACAGTTAGCGAAGCGCAAGCATCACGCCCGTGCCAAAGAAAGGAACCTGCAAATATCGGCCGATCGCTTGTGCATCAGTTTCCCTGAAGACATTTAAGATGCTTATTCTTGAAGGGATCTCAGCCCAGAATCATTTTTGATGACCCTAACCAGTTTGCATTCCGCAGCTCGAGGTTCACCTTAAATACAGTAGCATGTCCACCACCTACTGAGCTCTCTGCAGTGGATAAGAAAAACAAATCCATCCGCATCTGCTTCTTGGATTTCAGCAATACTTTTGGGTGCGTTAACCGTGAACTACTGCTGCGCGACCTATTAGGTACTGGATTTCAAACTTCTGTTGTCTTTCTATTGAAATATATTTCACCAGACATGCTCAATATATCAGAATAATTGAAAAAACTCCTCTTCACGCACTACTAACTCTGCAGTTCGTTAGCGAGTCATTTTGAGCCCATTCCTATTTTTCACTTAGGTTACCTCAATACCGGTACCTGCAGTAGCAATCTTTGCGTTCATCCTGCAGGCATTCATTCACCAGCCAAACTACAAAGCCACTGGGACAACCTCACATCTTGGTTCAAATCCTGTTGCCTACCGTTAAACACCTCAAAATGCAAGGATGTCCATCTTCGATGTTCAAAGGAGGGAGTTACCATCAAATTCTAACATAGTGTCCGCAACTTTGCATTGATGGTGAATGTTTGACCAATTTCACTTGAATAAATTACTTCCGAGTGACAATGAGCAGTGAGCTTACATGGTCCCGACGAACGAAGTTAGAAGCTTCTCATTCTGATACACTGTTCTGCTCTTCTTCCGTACACTGTGTATTGTTGTAGGGTTTTATCAGTACAATACCCTACTGGACCTATTGTTCTCCCGTTATCTTTCCTGCTCCCCTGATTGATGAGCTCAATGTAATTGCCAGATCAGTGAAGTATGTATCGCGGTGTAGTAATGTCTCCAGACTGGAAATGGGTAACGTTTTTGTAGTCAGCCATGTCAACTCATGTAAAAAGCCTGCATCTATACTACTCGCGTCTGTTAGCTACCGTCTCCACAGAGCGTGGTGCGAATGGGTATCAAAATCCTCGACAAGACAGCTACAAAATAACATACGCCCGCAAAAGGGATTATGGTACATCAGTTGTTCATTGCGTATCACGTTTTTTATCGATAAAAAATTAGTCATTCAAGAACTGGATGGTATAATCCAATGAGATTTACTTCCTCAAGTATTTTTAACGATTGAGGTCGTGTATCTAACATCATACACTATTCGTTCTCATTATGTATCCCTATCAGTGCAGTGTGTGTTAGAAATGAATATATACCTTTCATGGGTGAATAAAGCACATTTTTGCCTTGACTTTCTTATTATACTTACGTTTTACCTTACATGTTATTTAACAGGAAGGTACCTGAACGAACGGTTGGTATATGAGTGAATTGGTCTCGCACTTGGTACTCCAGCTATAGCTTCTTTGATAACATCCAGCCTGGTGTCTACTAGTGTACCCAGCTAAAAACATACTTTAAGCTTGCCACTATGAGTTGGTTATAAATAACCGTGGGTGAGCTAGTCACTCTGTTCGCTCGTTCTGTAACCAGGGTGTTGACAGAGAGACCGAAAGGTGGTATTGATGCTTGCTTAACGAGTAAGGAATGGTAGATTCTGAAGGAAGCCTGTTATTAGGAACTGTGCATGTGCTTTGCAGTTAATGCAACAACCCCGTGAGCGTCCTTGAACTTAGTTTCGAACACAAAACACACGGCAATATCAGCATGTCTAACATGCGTGCGAATGCAGCCTGTTGATCTATTTGTCTTACAGTGCGAAAGCTGAAGGCCACCAGTGAAACGGAAAAGTGTATCTCTATAAAGTGTTGTTGGCGTTTAGTGTTTGGGAAATGGTGCAGGAAGAAGCTGCAAAAGGTATGAGTCCAGTGACCTTGTGGTTGCTCTCACTTAAACATCATGCTGAGGTTGAAGTTGCATTGATGATACTTCATCACAACACTCGGGCTAAAGCAACTTACACTTAAACTTGACACTTTTACTCTGAATAAAAGTCATTCCACATTATTTGGCTTATTCGTTTCCATTATTCTGCTGCAAATTCTGTGTCAATTTCGCTTGTTTGCTTTACCTCAACTTCGATCTTGGTTTTTGATATCCCCGGTGTTACTGCGTTTGCCGTGAATGTTGACAAGGTGCCTACTTGTCGAACACACTCCACCTGGATTTTATCGGCTCCAGTAGACTGCGAATCGTTGCTGGGGAACTGGATGCACGGTCCTCCTGGCCGTGCTAGGCTCGATTTGTGTTTCTATCCAGTGTGAAGCGGACAACAGCCCAGTCACCGTCTTGTGTATCTGGTACGCGTGATATCTTATTTCGATAGACAGGAATGCTGCCGCTGTGAACGTTGTATGAGTGTGGGCTGGCACCATTGATGAAACTTTGCTCCCATCCACATGCCAACTCGTCTTGTTCCTTCTGGTTTAAACTGCATATGGGGAGAGTGTATCGAGCTGTGGGTGGTGCAGCGTAAGCCACTCATGGTCGTTCTATAGGCGCAGGCGTTCTGTGGTTTTTCTATAGAGGTTCCAGCGACAGGCAAATCCGGAACCGGATGTCGCCAACCACATATATTTCAGGCTCAGAAATCACAACGCCCCCAACCGAATCTACCAAATCGGTGGGTATCCTGGAAACGGCTGCGTAAGCTATCCCCTCTTGAATACAGGCACAATGATACCCACTGTTTCAAAGAATTTATCTTAGTTTTGCAGATCACATTCTTTTACCGTACAGTTGCTTTTTCTTCCCTAAAACGTATATTGCATATTTTGCAGGCACTGACAGTAGAGAACATCCGGACGTCACGATCACACTTCCCGTCTATATACCCTTCCTCTACCAAACATGTCGAATATGCCTCCACATTTCGCCGCGAAACCCAAGCTCCAATTCGCTCCACCCTACGTGCCCTAAACTCGTTATTATCTCGCATTCCCACGACCCCAAATTGCCTCTACGCCTTTGTCTAATTTTGTTTACGATTGTCAACACCATGCTCTGCACCGATTAGGGTCGTTTGGTGACCTTCACTCCTCACCGATTATGCCTGTCTGCTGACCTTTTGTCCCCACTGATTACCCATGTTTGACCATTCCTTCCTTTGTGTATGTGCATCTGTGACTAAGTTGTTGAACGCTCCAAACATGCCAAGTTCCCAGCTACTTGAGGCTTACGCACACCATATCCCATTTGCGTGATCGAACAATCCCACCGGTTTACACGTCTTATAAACGCACCGTGCACCATAGTTCTGTGGCTTCATACAGCGGACACTCTGAAGCTAGACTTGTTGACCCGATTTTCATTGTAACTGTTCTGATTTTGGAAGCATGAGTGCTGAAGTATTTATTATGTATATTCATTTATTCATTTGGAAAAGGTACCGTTATCCAGTTCCGGATTGTTTTTCCATTGATCCCGATGGAAACGCGTCACTCGAAACTCCAGAGCGAATTTTAACGCTTACACTTACTGATAGTTCTTGTCTGTGGCATCGTTTATGGCAACAAGTGTAACGCGGCCTCATTAGTCGTGAACCTCATCAACATCCTCACCTGTTTCTCCATTGTAATGTAGCTATTTCCACATTTAATTCACTTAGTGGGATCGGTCGAAACATGGATAATTGTTACCTATCATTAGATAACTTTCATGTTGTTATTTTTAAAAACCACAGTCGTATATCCATTGTTGACAACAGGAAAGCTGTTACTGCTCATCCTGTGGCTTTTGTTTCATTAACAGAGCATAAGAGAGACTATGTGGAACTCACTATACCTTTTCCCCTGCCAAGTTGTCCGCTTGGGCAACAGAACTAATCTGATGAGGCATTCAACATGAGTGTACTCAAATAATTTGTTCCGTGAGTATGCCAGTCACTTGTGCAGGTGTGTAGGTGTGCGTGTTTAGCCTGTCGCCTTCAGCCAATTGGACCTCAGACACACTAAGTCATAGGGGTGCAGGTGGGACGCTTCAGCTTCTAAGCAGGGAACAAATTAATTGAGTAGACTCATGTTGAATACCCCCTCAGATTATTTCTGTTCCCCAAGAGAACAACTTGGCCGGGAAATGGTGTAGTTTGATAGTCTGATTACATATCTAAACTTATTTACCCTGCTCTCTAAATGGATCATCGATTGTCCCTTTATCTTTATCGGAATCTCGCCCTCAAAGTTGAAGTTGACGAACATCCGGATCTTCATAAAATAATCTATTTCGGTTTACTTGATACAACCCATTAACCAATTACCGAGCTAGAAGCCCTTAGTAGGTTTAAAGCTGATCTGTAAGGGAATTGCAGCAACCAGGTTACTCATGATCAATACTTTGCTCAGACCGTTCCATTGCCGACACACGTTTCTTTGATGCTCTGTCATCTGTCTACACGCTTTCCTGTTGGCAATGTCGCCCAAGTTCTGGTCGAATTCGTAGCTATTATGCATAGGTACATTACATCGTGTTTTATCTACGGTCGCAAACATTTAAATGTTCTCCCTTAATGTCAAGACCGCAAAATGTGTTAATCAGCATGCAAGGCTTTCACGGAATTATTTTAAAAATATGAGTGATATATAGTAAAAGGTTAGGTGTTCCATTGGTTGATTTGCGTGACGGATAAAATCTTACTTGAATTGTTCCTCACGTGGACTGAGCTCCGCGGTTCGAAAATCAACATAGCCTTTCAACAAAACTGAGTCTTCACAGCGGATGCCGTTTCACGTGTATTACCTTCAGTCAAGACAACTGGTAGGACTGAACACTATAATCGGATTTCCTATATCATCACATTTGCGTTTCCGATAGCACCAATACTTTTGGGCTTGACTTGATTACCTTTGTACTCACTGGTTTGTTTCGCACTTCCAGGTCTTCGGTTTACTGGACACATGATTCAGCTAGTGCATAAATTCGTTCATATTCGAGTTTTCATGGCTAGCCGTCACCATGGTATCCAATGCATCGTGCATGTTAGTGAATTAACGAGTATTAGCACTAGCTCCCTTGAATTTTACCCCTAGATTATTGTGATATTTTCTTCCAGGAAGTTTCCGCTTCTGGATGCTTACCCCACCCAATCGGACATGTTCACTGTAGGAAGCAGGTTGGGCGTATGCACTGAAGCTTGATTTCCCTCCCCTCATCCTTCACGAAACACGTATGTTACTTTCATTCGCTTTTTACTCCGCAGTACATCGCCTGTGCAGTATGAGGTATTTTGCTAAATGGCTTTAAAAGTTGCGTCACACACATTCCGTATTAGGAACCATTGTGCCGGCACCTATTAGTGAGAGAAATTGTCTGAATTAAGAACCTGGTAAGAGTATGGTGAATCACTGAAAAGTAACGAAAACACGAGTTTTGACGCCAAAAGTCACTGTTCCATCTTGTATGCAACACTGATACCTGTTCAAAATAGTGGTTTCCATTTCCGTGGTTTATCTGGCCAACGGTGTCTCTTTAGCATACACACATTTCTTGTTTCATGTAATTTTGACGTTTGCATATAAATGAGTTATG